CCTATAAATATAAAATTGGGTGGACCTTTTGTTTTTAATGAATCAAAATGATTTGGATTGATTTATAGAGAGTACTCAATCATTTCTATAGCTTCTTTATAATTTTTGATTTTCTTAATCATTAAAAGTCAAATTGTATTTAATGAATCACCTTCAAATTATAAAACATCATACCTTTCGTATATAATAAAAGACAATGCTTTGAATCTACTTACAATGCTTTATCCGCCCAAACGATTGCTTCATTATATTGACCAAGCATCTTTAAACTCTCAGCTAATAAATTACAATATCATTATACCTTTAGTAAAAAATGAAAGACAATGCTTTGGATCTACTTACAATGCTTTATCTACCCAAATGATTGCTTCATTATATTAACCAAGCATTCTTAAACTATCAGCTAATACATTCCAATATCAAACTACCTTTGCACCACAATGATGATTAATGTTTCCAATTCAAATTTAATGCTTACTCAAATATTTAAATTGCTTCATCAAACTTTTTTTCCTTCCAATATATAATTTAACTGGTATCTTAAACTCTTAATATATATCTTAAATTATTAATTTAATACATTTTTAATGCAATTCTTCTGACTTTTTTATATTAATTTTAGATGCTTGATAATAGTAAATTCATTTATAAATGATTGAACGAGTGTTAAATAGGCATTATTATTTTAAGTATAAATGTAAATCAAACAATGTCTTTGATATTTAAATTGCGCATTCAAATGATTTGAAATGGTTCGTTGATGATACAAATGAATTAATTTATTCAGAATTTAAATGAGTTAATTATTATTTCGATACTTGATATTTTAATCTAATTCCTTCAATTAATGCAAAAAAGTCTTGTTAAATCAAATCCATTTATTTATTCATACTATTTAATTAACTTATCATATTCTTTTTTAACCCTTTCAATGTGTTCAAATAAAAATTGTAAATCTTCTTAATATCGAGGATGAGTAATATGAATTCCATTTTTTATACGTTCAAGACAATATAATCTTTATTCTTTCAAGATTCATTAGAACATTTTAATTTGACATCACTGTGTTTGGACATTTAATAAATATATCACAACTTTTATTCATATTAATAAATCTGTTTCTATTTCTATTAATAACCCTTTTAATTAGAATTCGCTTATCATAGTAAATTAATTAGATCGTCAATTTCTATGATTCTATTGTTTTGTTATAAATTCTTTCATTTAACTATAATTTTTTTATCAAAAATTGTACAAATATATCAATTTTCAACTAATCTACCCTCTTTAAAATAAATAATATCTTGATTGCTTGCATTATTTTAAGAAAGGAGGAGGAATAATTATTCTTGCAATTTTCTATTTGAATCTTAAAATGATCTATATTGAGAAATATTGAATCATAATTTACTCATTTATCTATCAATAGTCAAAAATGTTATTTTAGAAATGAATATTTTTTATATGTAATTTTTTTAGCCAAACTGCAATAAGTATATATCTGGAAATACAGTATTAATAAACGAAAAAGAATGTGCAGAAAGGCAATGTATTTAAAAAAAAATATGCCTAATTTCATGACACATAAAGCAACTAATAAACTTTGTAAAATACGGTAACAATAATAAAATAGGATGGTCCAATTTAGATTAATGTCTTAATCAAATGCTGCTCGACAAGTGTTTTTCCTAAGATCTGGAGGAATATGACAAGGTTTTTAAAGGGTCATTCTCTTTTAGGTGCTTAATTATTTTGTGACATAAACTTTCTTTAAAATAAACTATGTATTAATTATTAAAAAAATATCCTATCTTCCTAGATACTAAGTATTGATTCTTTAATTTCTACCCCCTAAATGCTTTCAATTAATTGACTTAATATGTACCTAATTGGCATTCGCGGTGCTGTTCATAAAGTTTGATAGCATTCTTATCCCTCTAAATCAACAATCAGGCTTTATATTAGTTCTGCTCTCTCTCAGATATTTATAAGATTGAGGACCTCTTTTATTGAAGGTTACAGGCTTTAAGATCAACTTTAAATTAGAATTTTTCATAAAGTTTTGAATAACTCGGAAACATTCCAATAAAATTATATTATATGATAAATTGATAAAACATAAATGATTATTAATATACTGATGGTCATACGTTAATACATTTAAAAAGTGCTATCTAAAAAATTAAAAGAGTCCTGCAGAATTAAAAAGCTATTTGACTGTTAGAAGTTATTAATTAATTTATGCATTTTTAGCTAAGCGGTTTTAAAAGAATGTTTGGAATAAATTATCAAATGAGTTGAATTTGAAAAAATTTTTGATAATCATAAATTACAAGTTTATAATCACTTTATGAGATGATGACGGTCGATGATCTAAATTAAAAGTTTCTTCAATATATCTTTTAGTGCTCCTTTTGAACTTGTAATTCTGTTCTTACTTCCTGTCTGTATGTGATCTTCAATTATCTCTTAAAACACCTCTTAATAAATTATATATTCTGGGTATCCAAGGAAAGTAATCAATACAAGAATGATGTATTTTCTAAATCATTAGATGTAATAAATTGAAATATATCTCAAGTTTTCTTTTACTAGAATTGATGCTTATCTTGATTAACTTTCTGTTGATTCTTATCCAACTGTAATTCACAACACTCCTACTTTTACACCACCAGTTGCTTAAATATCTTTACCATCTATACAAA